TCTTCGAAGACCCGCTCTGATATCAATTGTAGAAGCGATTTAATCGAGTATGAATGTTATAAGAGTAATCAAAGTGGTATGAACACGGAGAGTAAATAAGATCTGGTTTATAGCTTAATTATACTTTCGAATACAAAGAGAATACTAGACAGAATGACTTGGAAAAGTTCTATCTAACTCTGAGTACAACTCCTATTTAAAGGAGAATAACAAAGTATACAAAAAATACTAAGGGCTAAACATCAAGACTTCGAAAGTATTATGCCTTAGTAAATAGATAAAATGACTTTCGAAACTGACTCAAATAACTTCGACACATTACAACATATTTGACACTAATAAAAATGTGCTTGGTACTCTCGAATTTATCACCCAATCAATGTGCCGGTTAACTACATATGCTCCATTGATCTTACGATAAACATCGAGCCACCCTTTGCCACCCTTACCATTGCAAGTTAATGTGTCGATTAACCACACACGCTCCATCAACGACTTGGTAAGGTGAAAAGTGCAATTTTCATTGATTAGCATCAATTTCACATTTTCCTAAAGTAACTAAAATTGGGAATTTAATAAAATATTTAGTTACTTTATTATCTTATACTTAATGAGAATTATAGTCCTATCCTACCCGTTCGGCTAACGACCCTCCACCAGTCAAGGAAGCGGTGGGTGAGAGTGAACAGCCATTAAACTGCCATTTTATAGGCAGTAACCTTATACCCCCCTTATAGACCGGGTTCGTGAATGAGGCCTACTAATGGTAAGACTGACTTGATGTTATATATATATATATATATATATATATATATATATATATATATATATATATATTAACTTATAATACTATAAAGTATAAGGGTTGAATTTTAAACTTTTAAAATTCTAGGGTTTGGAATTAAAGTATTCTTAAGTGACTTTACAAATTCCAAAACTTGAGGGCAAGTTTTGAAACATGTCAAAACTTTTCATTTCCATAACATATGAGTTGAATGATCTCTTAAAAGAAAAACCTTTCATTTTCCATAACTTGAGGACAAGTTATGGAGTCCATTAAAAGCATTTGACCAGTTATTTTAATTAACACAATAATCAAATAATTCATACATGATTCAATTAAACTCATATGAACAAGATAATTCATATCAAACAAATTTCACGAAATTAGCCTAATCATATAAACTAATACAAAACATGAAACTTTGACAATTATCTTTGAAATTGGATAAGCACAATCATTACCAAATCAAAAACAGGTTTCATAGTTCCAAAAACAGTTTAGGGTAATGATCCTAATCCAATTGCTAGCCAAAACTCGAAATTCTGCTCACAGATGCATCACCACGTCGTGGTAAAAGCTGCCACGTCGTGGTGGGCAGGCAGAAACGAAATTGGTAGATTTTCTAACTTTGAAAAACATTAAAACATCAAGTATAATAGAAAACAAGCCTAGGCTCTGATACCACTGAAGGGTTTTGAGCATTCTAACACTCTTATGGTGTACATGCAACCCTAGATGCATGGGAGCTATGTTTTCTCTATCATATATGCAAACTTTCAATTTTCCAAAGCATCATCCTAACTAGCATACTATGGAATATATACACTACAAAAATCTAGTTAGATGACTTACCTTTGTTGTAGCTTTGAAACCTTAAGACTTTAAGAGCCTACCACCCCAAGTGTGATTCCTCAAATGCTTCACACAACACCACCAACAATGGAGGACTTGAGAAGAGATTGTCTTGCACACACAAAAATCGGCTAGCCTTCTTGTATCTTACTTAAGTGCCGATTTTGGTTGCCATGAGGTTTCTTATATAGTGTGACACAACTAGGGTTACACCATGCAAACCCTAATGTACATGACTTTCCACATTCCTTAGGCTCCATGGGTTTTAACCTCCATAGACAATCCATGGGTCACCATATGGGTTTATCCCAACATAAAGAACTATAGATCATAAGCCCACTTTATAAGAATGAATGATTTATACAATCAATCCCCATATATTTAATTAGTCTCTTTTGATCACAAAATTAATTCCAAATTAATTCTTGATCGATATTAATTAAATAATATGATTTCATATTAATAAATCATAAATATCCTCTTCTCAAAAGTCCATCCTTACAAATTGTTATGGTGCCATGCTACTCTCGGGTCAAGTACATACCAATTATATTTATGGGCTTAGACACTAAATACAACACATGATACATGACAAAAATGTCCATGGAGGGTTCTAGGTAGAGGCTATGAAGACAGTTGCATATGTCATTAATCAAATCCCCCAACAATGTCATATTTTTCACAAGCTAGAAAAGAAAGTCGTTTGTTGCATCTTCGTGTGCTATGCCAAGAGAGAAAAGGATGGAGATATTATGACCTAACTAGTGGTAAATGTTATGTTTCAAGGAATGTCGTTTTTAATGAAACATCCTCCTGGTGGTCAACTAATCGTGAGACTTTGCCAAACTCGGAAACAATGAAATAAAATTTGGAGTCTTCTAAGGCTAACCTTATCTTAGATGAAAGTGAAGCAGTGGTTGACGAAGATAGCACAAGTCCATGCACAACAACCTTGGCAGTCAGGTGTATTTCACGCGGAGACAAATGACGACAACGTTGGAGTATCAAATATAAGGGAATCGTCTAGAGTAAGAAAACCAAATCTCCGTTATGCTAATTCAACTATAATCGAAGATGTAGTATTGGGACAAGATAATTATGACCAAGCTCGTGAAGTGCCAGAATGGATAACGGCTATGAAAGAGGAGGTATATGCCCTAGTAAGTATCAAACGTGGGAATTGGTTCCTAATTCCAAAGGTGTTGATACCATCTTGTGTAAATGGGTTCACAAGGTGAAACGACATGCATATGGATCTATGGAGAGTCTTAAATCCAGACTCGTTGCCCATGAATTCTCATATTAATTTGGACTGGACTATAAAGGAACATTTAACCATGTAGCAAATCTAACCACCATACATGTTCTTCTTGCCTAGCAACTAGCAAACGATGGAACCAAGTGGATGTGAGCAATTCATTTTGTATGGAGATCTAGATCATGTTATTCACACGGAACAACCAAGGGGATTCGAAAGTAAAACTCATCCGCAATACATGTGTAAACTGAAGAAAACACTATATAGACAAAGGCATCCCGACGAACATGGTCTGAGAGGATTGTTGAGTTCCTCGAGCATAATGGTTTCTTTCTAACAATGGCAGATGCAAGCCTATTTGTGAAGGCGATTGGTGACAAAGTGGTGGTTGTTCAAGTGTACGTCGATGATCTAATAATAATCGGAGACCTTGATGATGAAATTTCACCGTTAAAAGAAAACTTGTGTACAACGTTTCACCTTAAAAGAAAACTTGTGTACAACGTTTCACATGAAAGACCTTGGAAAGCTAAATCACTTTCTGGGATTAGAAGTAAATTATGAAGATATAGTACTACACCAAAGAAAATACATGATTTATCTGTTGAAGTGATTTGGGATGATCGAGTGCAAATCGGTTGCGACTCCTATGTATACCAATGCAAAACTTTATGAAAGTGCAGACAGGAAGCTTGAAGTTGCTACGACGTATAAAAAGACCAAGGGAAGCCTTATTTATTTGACCCTAACAAAGCTAGATATTGCATTTGTGGTTGGAGGCCTAAGGAGGTACATACAAAATCCTAGAAAACCTCATCTTGATGGATGAGTGTTGAGATTCATCATGAACCATGGAATTATGTTTAAGAGGAAATCAAGAAGCATGTTATCAGTTACTGTGATGCTCACTATGCTGGTGACATGAAAGTGCAGACAAAAGCTTGAAGTTGCTACGATGTATAAAAAGACTGTGGGAAGCCTTATTTATTTGACCCTGACAAAGCTAAATATTGCATTTGTGGAGGGAAGCCTTATTTATTTGACCCTGACAAAGCTATATATTGCATTTGTGGTTGGAGGCCTAAGGAGGTACATACAAAATCCTAGAAAACCTCATTTTGATGGATGAGTGTTGAGATTCATCAAGACAACTTTGAACCATGGAATTATGTTTAAAAGGAAATCAGGAAGCATGTTATCAGTTATTGTGATGCTGACTATACTGGTGACATGAACACTCGAATCCGCTATTATATGTTTGCTCTAGTTTTTTTTGTTTTTGATATTGAAACGGCTTTTCTTTATCCATGGGCAATGAGTTTTGATGTATTAGGTGTATCTGTAGACGTTCAGGTATTGGTTATGTCTTCATGATTGGATCAAGTGTTGTGTCATGGTGCAACAAGCATCAACCAACCTTGTCCCTCTCCACAACCGAAACCGAGTACCATGCTGCTGCAATGGCAGCTGAAGAGAGTGTGGCTCTTGTAACTGTTAAAAGATATGAATCAAGATGTGGAGTATCAGGTTCCTATCTTTTGTGAGCACCTCTCGCCCGGACCAAGCATAAAGAAGTCCACTATCATTTTATCCGTGAGAAGGTTCTTAAAGAAGAAATTGATTTACAATATGTAAACATGAGAGAACAAGCTGCAGATCGGTTTACAAAAAGCCTACATACATGGTTGAATTTTGCAACATATTGGGCCTGGTGGAAGCAGGTGTTGAGAGAGAATATTGAAATAACAACACCTTCATAGTATGCTCACGTGTAGATACGTGTGACAGACATACAACCTTAATTGTATGCTCATGTGCAGATACATATGACAGACATATACCTTAATTGTTTTTCGGTTCATTTTCCATTGTGTTTTCTTTTCTTTTTAGTATTCGACTTTGTCTTTGTCTAGTGGGTAGTTCGGCTTGGTAGGTAATTATTTTATTTCCTGTGCAGGTGCCAACACATTCGTTTATTATACGATGTTTATACGATTGTGTATGGCTAAAAGGTGTTGTTTAAAAGGACTAGGGTATAATCCTTTAGGTTTATTACAAAGAAATCTACACTTATACCATCTGCAAGTCGAGTACAAACCATTCAGTTTAAGGGAAAGCACACAGTTTCTTCATATCCGTGCTTTCTACGTCCACTACAAAACACTTCTTGTGCTGCCTCCAGTAATCAGCTGTTGGGTTTATCCATTCTGATTCCGGAATCTCAATCCTCGACTTCATCAGATCATCTCTTGAGAAGTTGTATTTGTCATCTCTCTTCTTCACCAACTCTGGTTTCACCACCCCATCCTCCGCCGCTTGCGGAGACATCATTAACGATGGAGGGCCCAATGGAAGTTTATCACCTACACAATACCCATCCAATGATCTAAATACCAATCAACAAAAAAAATTAAAATCCTTATCGTTTCTTTTACTCAAGCAAACAGTTAATCTTACCTCTATCAGTTTGCCATGTGCACCAAAACTTGCCGTAAGTTTTGGTTAGATTTTTTAACTCCGGCATGACAATCATATCTGGCATTCTTGGGTGAACCCAAAGACCAGATTTTATCTGAAGAAAACAATTTTTTATGATTAATACATATCTTTAAAAGAATTCATGTGTGAAATGAAAGTGGTTTAATTTGAATAAACCTCGTAGGCATGAGAGTGCCAGAGTTTTTGTTCCTCAGGTGGCAGCGTTTCAAAGATAGTATCAGAAACTATATATTCCACTCCTGCCAAATTAAAACGCTTAATTTCAATACGCAGTTATGATCTTACATAGTTACTTAATGTGAAACTTAAAGATATGTATACCGATGAGACGGCCATTGGAGTCATCCGTGTCGTAAACTGCAGCCTGGAGGAAGTCCTGGTTAAGTCGCGTGATGAAGTGGTGAGTCTCGATTTGACGAGACATGTCATGGCTGTACAAAGCAAAAGTACAAGCATGTTGGCTCATCTGCCTGATGGGACTTAAGGACTGCAACATTTGAGACCCTTTGTCATGAATTTGTTGCTCCAGCGACATGGGTTTTCCCGGCGGGATCCCAGTATTCACTGCTCCGGCACCGTCGGTGGCATAAGTTGAAGACATCAGCGATTGATAAAGAGGAATAACAAGTGTGTTTTTTTCTCTTGATTGAAGTGTGGCAGAAGAGGCCGGGTGAATCAGTAGATAACTTCTACGGAGGAGTAGTCAACGAGCAACGGAGCAAGAAAGTGCATGTAATCAAGATTCAAGAGGTGGCGAGCCAAGCGGAGTCATGGGATGACAGACTGCCAGGTGGTTGAAGCTGCTTGGCACGTGTGATGGTGATATTATGTTTGATTAAATTATAAAAATAGTCCTCGAGTTTAATTAGCTTTTGAAAATTTGAAAACTAAACCTTCAACTTTGTAACTTTGCTCTTAATTGGACTTCTTTATATATATATATATATATATATATATATATATATATATAGATATATATATATATATATATATATATATATATATATATATATACTATATTATTAAACATATTGCCTCTTTCTTGAAAATTAAGAGGTACAATACTTATTACCTCATGTACAATAATATTAAGCTTATAATATACACGGTATTACCTCCTTATCTAAGATGTTACCCTAATCTTCTCTACACACAACAGCCGCCATCAGAAAATCGAAACCCTATTCTTTCCGTCTCCTTCCTACACACAACACTACTCACCAAATCAAAGCAAATATCTACCGTCTCTCTCTTGGCGTCGTTGCTGAATGTCTCTGCGCCTCCACCGTAGCCACCTGACCTCGGATGGTACGCCACAGGATCTTCGAAGGAGCACGGAAGTGAATGGGACCATGAGACGGCTTAGTGTTCATACGCTTACGGAGATAATGAAGGTACTTCATTTTCTGACGAACAAGACCACCGGAGAGGCAGATCTCTTCAGTGCGCACGACGGTGACACGATGGCCATTGAGAAGCTCCTTTGTCAAAATAGACGACAATCGACTGAGCATATGGTGGCGAGCGTCCACCACTACCTCCTTTGCGCAAATACCTGATCCACATCACCTGCCAAGCTTCCGCCTATGTCGTCGGAGTAGACAGATGGGCCACCGCACTGAAACTCGGCAGCGACTCCGTCGGAATCGAATACAACACTCACCGCAACATCAGAATCGCACTTCTTGCCCTAGGAACCATTCAGGTATGCAAAAATCGATCACATTTTTCATAATTTCTTGTCAATCTTGTGTAAAACTGAAACTGATGTTAACAATTTTTCAGGCGTTTGCTTTGCTTTTGAGGCCAAAACCAGAGAACAAATACACACCCCTAATTTGATTTTACTTCCACTCACTGCTAAAAATCATTTTCATGTTTGATTTATACAAATCTTGTAGGAAATGAAGAAAAAATTGATTCTATTCAAAGGGAAAGGGTACGATGAAGGCATATTTCTCTGTAATCTCTCTCTCTCTCTCTAACTCTGTGTATGGGTGTGAACCTATACGCTAATCATTCGTCCCATACGCTAATCTCTCTCTAACTCTTATGTGCAAGTTTGTTGACTCTTAGTTGGATTGATGTTCCTGGTGGTGGTAATAAACGTATGTAATTACTGATTAGCCCTTACTCCATTGATATATGCTTATGTAGTTATTTCATTCGTTTCTAGAGATCTATGTTGTAGTTGTAAATTCAATCTGTACAATGCAGGTAATGATCAAACCATTATAAATTGTCATTTTGTCTTTTATTAATATTTTTTCTGTAATTTCTTTTATTAAATACACTTTCATTTATCTTCTGGTGTAATTGTGTTGCAGGTGACTTCGATTGTTACAGAGCAATAGTTCTTACTCCTCGTTTGACAATGGTTTTTGATGGAACTGAAGTTCATGTTGTCATGTTGATGCTATCAAACTTTCAATCTGCACAATGCAGGTAATGATCAAACAATTATAAAGTTTTTGACACTTAAAAAAAAACCATTTTCCTGGCTATTTACTTTAGGTATACAGCAAATTATATAAAAGGCGAGAAGCAAATTATATACAAATACTGGAAATAACAAAGATATGTTGGTCATGTAATTTCAGTTTGTTGCAAAGAAGCTTGACAAAAGACTTGCAGATCTCGGGGGAACTACAATTCTTGAAAGAGGTGTCGGTCAATGTTGTCTGCAAAAAAGTCAAATGACAAGAGTAAACCCGATTGCTTTTTGAAACTGGTAGTGATGAAATTTCATGGTCTTTTTATATTCTCCTTATGTTAATTTATAATTTGTACCATTGTGTGCTTATTTAGGTTAAAAATCAACCAATAACTAGAGCAAGTTATGACAAAGATGTACGCCATTTGGAATTTGAGCCACTTTCATCTGTAAGTATTATCAAGCTTATATGTATTAGTTGTTTTTTTTGGTTAATATTATATAAGCATTTACATAAAAAGAAACCCTCTTAATAAAATTGTTTCTAATTTGTTTTATTCAGACTATCGAGTATGAAGTTGGTAATGTTCTTGAGATTCTTCCTTCACAAAGCCCTGAAGCAATTGATGCATTCATGACTCGCTGTAATTTAAACCCTGAATCCTATATCATTGTGAGTAATGTTTTTAAATAGTTGTAAAATCCATTTATAGCATATAATCTATACACTAAATTTCAGGTTAAGCCTAGAAATAAAGAAGATTCCTTTAAAGATGGTGTTGGTGCTTCAAAAGATCCCATAAAACTAAAAACATTTGTCGAGTTGACTATGGATATTGCATCAGCTTCACCCAGACGTTACTTTTTTGAGGTAAAATGTCTGATTAAATATTTTGGTGTTTTTATATGATACTAATTCTACATTATTCCAACACATGCTTGTAACAGATTGTTGTGTTCTAACTAATAACAAAGTTCATTAATTATAATCAGACAAGGGTGTATGTCATATTGTCATGATTTAGTAACCAACTATTTCATATGAAAACCTATTCCATTCCTACACACCAACAAACTTGAAAATGGAATGTAATTACTCATTCCATTCCATTATCGTGTAGGTCATGAGTTTTTTCGTGAGTGCAGAACATGAAAAAGAGAGACTTGAATATTTCGCCTCTCCACAAGGAAGGGATGATCTGTACCAATACAACCAAAAACTCAAAGATAAGATTTTGATTTTTTAAATTAATTATGCTCTTATTTCCTTTATTTGATAGGAAGTTAGCCAAACTCACAAAGTTGAATCGTTCAAAACTTGAAACAATATTACCTGTTACTGCTATGATTGGTGAGTATCATTTTATTTGTTTATGTTGATGTTGAAGTATATTGACATTTTTTGTTTTTTAAATCTGATTAATAACATGTTTTCAAGCAATTCCATTTATGTTTTTACTTATGCCAATATGGTCATCTGGTTATGGTTATGACAGTACATGTCAAGACAACCCCCACCACAGGAGTTGGTTACCAAAGAACAACCATGGAAGGGAGCTAAGCCCATTAATTACTTCTTTTGAGACAAAGGTTTTTGTTATAATATCCTATATAAGTTTTTGAACTATAACGTAGTAATATAATATTAATTTTTATTTTTGATAGATTAAAGAGTCTGAATCGATGTGTGGAAAGAAACAACTTAGGAATGGTTTATTTAGATTTTTGCCAAAATCATTATTGTACCCTCTATTTGTGACAGATGCCCAAATTTCTAATACTAACCCCTTTTTTGATTCAAAACACTTTTGATTTTTAAAGTCAAACATGATGCATCTCAAAGTCAAAGATTAGAATTTTGTAAAGTATTTGAAATCCAGGTTCTTTTGTTTCTAAAAGTAGCATTTTTGAGTTCAAAAGTCAACATTTATCTTGGAATAGCGGGACTAATTTGGCAACCAAAACATGCCATAGAATTGAATCTTGAATCCATGTCCCTTTATATTGGCGTTGAATCCTAGAAAGAAACAATAAATATGTCACATGTTATCTTAAAATATGAAACTCAAGGCTCATCATTTTAGTTTTATTTTGCATGTAGAGATGGCATTGTGAAGTTGCTGGAGTTGTGATTGTGTTCAATGTGGCTGCAATTCGTAGAGGCCGAACTCAAAAGGAACACAAGGAAAGACGGCAAAATAGTGGGTGCTTGCGTGATAACGTGAAAGAACGATGCACATTCATTGATTTGTTTTTTTATAGAATCATACTTTCAAGTGACAATACCTCAAAATCAAGATATATTTTTGTGGTTGTCAAAAAATGTTTAATTAAAATTAATGAAAATTTTTTTTATTGATTTGTTTTTATACATTTTACTTTGACTTAAAATTTTGAATTTTTAAAAGAACAAAAAAAAAATTGGGGTGTTTTATATTTTGTGAATGTTTTATACTTTGGTTAGTTGTTTTTGTTTCACTATATAGTTATTAATAAATAACAATTATAACACTGGGACCGCGTATGGGACTAGTCTTAGTTATCATTTCAATATTGTAATATGTACAAAAATTAATTGCATCGGAATCGAATTATCCAAAAAACGAATACTTGAACCTAAAGGGAACAATCCATGAAAAGAAAACTAATCTTTGGTTCTTGACAACCCCCTCTCATGTATTAACACTCGTCGCTTGGCGCGGGTAAACGGCTATTATATATATATATATATATATATATATATATATATATATATATATATATATATATATATATATATATATATATATATATATATTCAACTTAGGATCTGATTTCCAAATTGTGTTAACTGCACATGTAATAACATATATAGTGCATATGCATTACAATTCGCACAAAATGATATTATTGTCTTTTCGATTATATTTACCAGGCCCGGCCTGTGTCGGAGGCCTTGTGCGAAAATCAAAATGAGGCCCTATAAAAAAATTGTAAAGTATTATTAAGGAATTTGCTATCAGTAAATTCAAAACTCAAAGTTACTATCAAACTTCTCGTAAATTCATGACCATAATTTCATGTATCAACTCATTAGATTTTTTAGTTTTTAGGATCATACATGTTCGTTGGAGTATCCTCTTTGTCATCATCATTACCATTCAAGGTGGTTATGTCTTCATTTACACAATGCATATCTTCTGGCACTTGCAGTTCAAATTCTTCGTCTCTAGGTTCTTCCACAACATCATTAACTTTTTCTCTAGGTTTTTGCACAGCTTTATGAACTTCATCCATGTTTTCTAGCACATGTAATTCAACTTGTTAGACTGTATGTTCTAAGTCATGCTCACGCTTTCGAGCATACTCAACAGCTTTTTCAAATGACAGAACATCCTGATTAGCCACGAAATCGTGGATTTCATACCGTAGTCCATCCAAGAATAACTGAATTTTATCGTCTTCAGTTGGAATATACTTTGCAGCAAACCGTGTTTTTTGATTTAATTGAGTTTCATAATCAATCACAGTCATTCCTCCTTGCTTAAGTTCAAAGAATTATTTCTCCAATCTTCTCCTCATATCTAGAGGACAATACTTTCCTAGCAAACAAGTTTTGAACATTTCCCAAGATAAATTCTCTTGGTCATAGTCGTTGAGAGTTTCGAATGTTGCTTCCCACCAGACTAAGGCTTCTCTGATGAGCATTGCAGAAGCATAATTGGCCTTGTCTTTATTAACCACAGGAGAGATACGGAATACTTTTTCTGTGTTCTGAATCCATGTAAGGACAACAATGGGATTAAGAACACTTGAAAACTCCATAGCACCATTACTCTTGAAAGTTTTGAATGAAGGACGTCTCGCCTCCCCTTTTGAAGATTCTCCTGTGACTTTCTCTTTACCTTTATCACTATCCTTTTTGTGTTCCTCGAAAGTTTTCCGAATAATACTAGTAAGTTTACCCAAGAGTCGTTCCTCACGAGGGGATACTGGAGTATTTACTTCGTCAGGACGAGTTTCTCCACCTACTTCTGGTGTATGGCTACCTTCCTGTTCAGCCATTGTTCTGAAAATTTGGAGTAACATAATATTTTAGAATATTAGGATTTATTATTACCTAATACTTTACTTAAGCCTTTCCTATGGTTTGTATCCATATACTTACAATGAATCCGTTCATATATTGAACTTCTGACTGTTTAAGTCTAAATACCAATCCGTGGTATTTAGTTCACTTAAACTACTGCTCTGATACCATGATTGAAAGAACCTCTTTCTCTAAATTTTACAATATTACTCCAAACATGCTACATGCATATTCATAAAAATATTTTACATATATGATTTTATTGCAAAAGACTGGATACAAACCGACTAACGAGTTCTTACAAAGTTTTATATATATTACATAACTTCCCAGGAAGTTTATACACTCTTTGCTTCTATAATATTATAATATTATTTATTCTACATCTTCTACCAGTACATGAATATACTGGATGCTTATCACCTGCAATAGTTTAAACATTGAGAGGGATAAGAGGGTGACGCTTAGTGAGTTCAATAACAGTTACAATATAACATTATGCCATATACATATCAATATAATAGAAGCAAAGAGGGACAAAGAACAACAAATGTATATGTGTATCATATGACAGGCTTTCCATATAAACAGATGATCTGATTCAAAGATTTACAAACAATGAGAAACAACAATTTCAATACTTGATATACATCAATAATCAGCCCAAGTGGCGCTGAAAATACAATTTCAGAATATCATTTTGCTAGAATACACAGGCTTTCAACCCTATCTTAGCATTCAGCCAATGCCAAAGTGATGCTTATGTCATACACTTCATGGCCAAAGGCTACATACCAGTACCCAAGTGATGCTTATGTCATACACTTCGTGGTCAAAGGTATAGCTCATTATCATAATAACACGGGAAATCACATTGAACATATAACACATAACATATAATTGTCCCTATATTGAACTCACTGTGACCGATTGTTAAAATGATAATTTGGGCAGCACTTCGCCTCTGTAAACGACTTTCTTTGACGAAACCAGGGATTTTAGTTGAAAATCGAGCCTTGCACGGACAAAGTTTTCCAATCAACCTCATGTCGGTTTCAATAAAAAGTTTCGACGTTATCATAGGCATGGACTGGCTGAGTTCTCATCGTGCAAACATTTTATGTTACGAAAAGGTCGTTCGCCTTAATCTGCCAAATGGTGAAACCCTCGTTATTTATGGCGATAAACCTAGTACCACTCTTCGTATCATCTCCTGCGTCAGAGCTCAAAAATATTTACGCAAGGAAAGCCATGCGTTCTTGGCACACGTCACAGATGTGAAGCGAGGAGTAGAAGACATCAAGAGCGTGCTTGACGTCTGTGATTTTCCCGATGTCTTTCCCGAAGATCTTCCGGGAGTACCTCCTGCAAGACAAGTCGAATTCAGAATCGACTTGATTCCTGGAGCCACCCCTGTAGCCAAAGCACCGTATCGTTTAGCCTCAGCAGAGATGCAAGAATTATCCAGTCAACTGAACGAACTGCTTAGCAAAGGATTCATCAGACCAAGCTTCTCACCTTGGGGAGCACCAATGTTGTTCGTGAAGAAGAAAGACGAATCGTTCAGAATGTGCATCGACTACCGAGATCTAAACAAACTCACCATTAAGAACCGGTATTCCCTGCGACGAATAGACGATCTGTTCGATCAACTCCAAGGGGCAAATTACTTTTCAAAGATCGATCTGAGATCGGGATATCACCAGCTACGAGTCCTGGAAAGTGATATTCCTAAGACGGCTTTCCGAACAAGATAGGGTCACTACGAATTTTTAGTGATGCCTTTCAAACTAACCAATGCGCCCGCCGTGTTCATGGACTTAATGAATCGAGTATGTCGTTCGTTCCTGGACAAATTTGTGATTGTGTTCATAGATGACATACTCATTTATTCAAGGAGTAAAGAAGAACATGGTCAACACCTGAGACAAGTCTTGGAGACACTAATAGCAGAGAAGCTTTACGCAAAGTTCTCGAAGTGCAAGTTTTAGATTAGGAAGGTGGACTTCCTAGGTCACGTGGTCAGCGAAGAGGGAATCCACGTGGACCCTTCCAAAATCAAGGCAATCAAGAATTAGTCAACAACGAAGACGCCAACCGAAATTCGCCAATTTCTAGGCCTTGCTGGCTATTACCGCAGATTCATACAGAACTTCTCCAGCATCGCAAAACCCCTTACAACCCTGACTCAGAAGGGTGTAGCTTTCAACTGGGGAGAAAAGCAAGATGCTGCATTTCAAACTCTGAAACAAGCCCTATGCTGCGCACCCATTTTGTCTCTTCCAGAGGGGACATAAGACTTTGTAGTATACTGCGATGCGTCCAATCAAGGGCTAGGTTGTGTGCTGATGCAACGAGGAAAGGTTCTTGCTTAAGCCTGACGACAACTAAAAACACACGAGGTCAACTACACCACTCACGACCTAGAGCTTGGAGCAGTAGTGTTCGCCCTGAAGATTTGGAGGCACTACCTATACAGGACAAAGTGCACCATCTTCACGGACCACAAGAGCCTTCAACACCTATTCGACCAGAAGGAGCTAAATATGAGACAACGACGTTGGGTTTAACTACTCAACGACTACGAATGTGAAATTCGTTATCATCCGGGTAAAGCCAATGTAGTGGCGGATTCCCTAAGTCGAAAGGAGTACTCTGGTCGAAGAGTGAAAGCGCTAACCATGACAATCCATTCACACCTGTCAACGCAAATCAAGGAAGCCCAACTAGAATCCTTGAAACCAGAAAACGTGACAGGTGAAGCACTTAGAGGAATGGACAAGAATCTTGAAATCAAAAGTGACGGAGTTCGTTATCTCATGAATCGAATCTGGACACTGAAATTTGGTGGATTCAAAGAGGTGGTCATGAACGAAGCACACAAGACTCGATACTCCGTACACCCAGGTTCAGATAATATGTATCTGGATCTCAAACAACTCTATTGGTGGCTAAACATGAAAGCAAAGATTGCTACCTACGTTGGCAAGTGCTTAACTTGTGCCAAGATCAAGGTAGAACATCAAAAACCCTCAGGTCTACTCCAGAAGCCCGAAATACCTGAGTGGAAGTGGGAGCAGATTACCATGGATTTCATAACCAAACTACCTAAGACGCAAGGTGGTCACGATACCATTTGGGTGATCTTCGACGGGTTAACCAAGTCTGCCCACTTCTTGCCAATCAAGGAGATCGATAAGATGGAGAAACTGACAAGAGCTTACATCCGGGAGATAGTGCGACTTTATAGGGTGTCGATGTCTATTATCTCAGACAGAGATAGCAGATTTACATCACGATTCTGGTATTCACTGCAGAAGGCCTTGGGAACTAGGCTAGATACGAGTACAGCCTATCACCCACAAACCGACGGACAGAGCGAGAGAACTATCCAAACCCTAGAAGACATGTTACGGGCTTGTGTAATAGACTTTGGTAAAGCGTGGGACATCCACTTACCATTAGTTGAATTCTCGTATAACAATAGTTATCACACTAGCATCAAGACTGCTCCATTTGAAGCCCTCTACGGCCGCAAGTATAGATCACCTCTGTGCTGGGCGGAAGTGGGTGACACGCAGTTGGCGAGAGGCCTAGTCCCTGATAGCCCTCTCACTGGCCCGAAAATCATTAAAAAGACGACTGAAAAGATCGTTTAAATTTGTGAACGACTGAAAGCCTCACGAGACAGGCAAAAGAGTTACGCTGGCAAGAGACGAAAACCCTTGGAATTTCAAGTTGGTGACCGCGTTCTACAAAAGGTCTCTCCCTGGAAGGGCATGATACGCTTTGGGAAGCGTGGAAAACTAAACCCAAGGTACATTGGACCCTTTGAAGTTATTGCAAGGATTGGTCCAGTAGCTTATAGACTCCATCTACCACTCGAACTTAACAACGTACATCTTGTGTTTCACGTGTCTAATCTAAAGAAGTGTCTATCTGATGAAACTCTTGTAATTCCACTCGAGGAGATCGAATTAAACGAAAATCTTAACTTTGTGGAAGAACCCGTCGAAATCATGGATAGTGAAATCAAACGAACAAAGCAAAGTCGCATACCAATTGTGAAGGTTCGCTGGAACGCTAAGCGGGGACCTGAATACACTTGGGAGCGAGAAGATCAGATGCAACAAAAGTACCCGCATCTCTTCCGTAGTCCATAAACAGTTACTTTGTAAATAATTTCGGGACGAAATTCCATTTAACG